AGTTCTCAAGATTTAACAAGGGGTGTGAAAAATGAAGGGGTTTGCTCAAAGCCCGATAAAAAGCAAAGGGGAATATAAAAAGTGAAGAGAAAGGTCATTTATTTTTTATTTTTTATTTTTTTATTTATTTTATTTTATTTTATTTTTTTAACTTTGAGCCAGAAAAGTAATTGATGAAGATGATTTGAAGATTGGTGGGTTGCTATGTGTGAGCAATTGAACACCAACGGAGTGGATAGAGAAGATAGAAGAAAAATGATGAATGATGAATTTAAGAAAATGTTGAGATTGTTAGAGTGTTTCTCAAGTCCATCATAGTGCTTTATTTAAGGTGGAAAAATCTTCAATTAAGGTGGAACTATAAAGAGCTTGAGGTAGAGTTATGAAGAGATTCCTGTTCGAGATGGAGTCTAAGCTACTGACATGTTTAAACTAGTTCAAGAACTTTGAACGAGTTCAACTGGAGTGATGAGTTGGACTTTGACTACTATCTTAGTTGAACCAGTTCAAGTGAGGCAGTGAGTTGCAACACTTTTGGGGCAACAAAGTTGAACTAGTTCAAGTGTTATTGAACCGGTTCAACTCTCTTTGGAAGTTGCGGGAAATAGTTTCCTAATCAATTTTGAAAGCCAGAAAACTTGGGGAAAAGATTGAAGATTTGGGAAAGAAATTGTACCTGCCATTTTAGAGTTGAAGATGGACACGGTAACTCCTTGTAGGCAAATTGATCCTTGTCCAATAAGGAATTATGTTTGAAAACTCTATAAATAGAGATGGGTATGAAAGGTTTATAAAGAGAGAGAAACAGAAAGAATGTAAGAGGTTTAAGGGTGAATGTAGTGAGGAGATGAGATAGTACATGTAATTCCCGATTATATGCATGTAGTTTTAAAAAAGATGATGAGCGAGTATTTGGGGTTTTGAGATGTTGTTGCATAATCTATTTCTTTATTCATAATAATAAAATATCTTTTATTTTGATGAACCATATAAAATATTATATTATACGGGAATAACCGATTCTTCAGTGAATTGAAAAGAGTTAATTATTCCCCCAAAACACAAACATTCCACCAACATCCAATCAGATTCAATGCCAAATAAGCATTACAATGTGGCATAGACACAACCCAACTCCAACTAGAAGCAGACATCATCCTCACATTCCTCCACCCATGTGATAGGTTAAAACCAATCACACGTGTTGCAGCATCTTTCTTTTATGTTTTTTTTGGCTTCTTATCACATGTTTTTTACAGCTTCACTTCTCTAAGATGCATTACAATGACAGTCCTTAAACTCCTGGATATACTACTACAAATTTACAGGAAACTCACATAACCTTACGAAATTAAAAGCAATGGGTCCTATCCATGAGAATGACAAAACCCACCTAAACTTTTTAAAAATTAAAGTAATGGGTCCTTTCCCTAAATAATTGTGCATTTATAACTGTACGTATAGTTTGGACATATATCCTGATAATCAGTTCAGTCTATACATGATTTGTCTATACTTAATTTTTATTAATAGACAACTTATTATCACAAATTGAAATCATTCCATGATATATCAATGACCCATAATGTTCTTGTGCACCTCAAATAGTTTTCTTCAAATTGTTAATAGAATATTATTTTTAAAGGGGATGGATTTTTTTTTTCTCCAATACAATTGTCAAACCTTATTCAGACAAACTCGATTTCAAAACACTCAAAACATCAGTTTCATGCAATCCACGTAGCATTAAGTTTTTTTCTCGACAACCAAAACCATACACTAATCAATAAATATAATTGCAATGCATGTAATGAAAGAGAATGGCTTCCAAATATTTTAAAAAATATTCCTCTTTGAAAGAAGCGCACCCAACGGCAATGATTTATTTATCGTGATAATGATTTATTTATGGTAAATCTAGACACATTAGTCTAAGACACCATTATATGACACAATAACTCAAGAATTAAGTAATTACAACTGATTACGTAGAATCAAAAAATAATTTTGCGAATCAGTTCAATCATCTTTGATCACGATCCCATCTAAGTCTTGAAATCATACATTGAGTTCGATATGGTACCAATAAGTCAAACAAGTGCTTATGATATGACACTAGATATTATTTTGAGTGGTCTCTATTTTATTTTAAGTGTTTGTTTGGGCAATGTAAAAGAGGATAAACTTTTGAAAATAAAAGAAGAAATGTTGGAAATATTGAGAATATATTTTCGAATAATAATTTTTCTGAAAAGCGTATTTAAAATTTAAAAGAGATCTATCAAAAAAAGAAAAAAAAAAAGCATAACTTTTCTTAAAGCTATTTTGTAAGTTATTTTTCAAATTCAAAAAGACACTTATGGAAAGTCATCTCTCACATTATAAACGTGAGAAGTAACGCCCTTAAAATATATAGAATGTGTAGATTCCTTCCATCAAGAACTCAATCTCCCTAAAAAGCTCTCTATTTATAGTAGAAAGTTTCGTGTCTTATTGTAAATTTGTTATTCTGTAACGTTCAACTACAAAACAAATGTTAATGAAGTTAATGTAGTTGTTGAAAGATTTTATTTGGGCTCTCTCTCAGTGCATTGGGCCTTTTTTTTTTTTTTTTTTTTTTTTTTCCGATCACAAAGCCTGCTAAAAAACTGCTTCACGGGCCTAATCTCTCTATAGGTCAATCCTTTTGTACATTCTCTTCTCATTAATATGTGATACTACTATTTGTTTTGCCTTAAAAAAAGCAACTGCTGAGTTCACTGATCTTATCTATATCTATATATATATACATACACATATATATAAATATGTTTTCATGCATGGTACACCACAGCCTCACGAGTCACGGCCAGCATGAGTAGACCGGGTCGTTTTCGTAACTATAAATTGAACCTACTCTTGGTTCGTTATAGATTAGTCAAGCCCATCTTATAATTAAAAACAGCTGCCTTATAGGAAGAAAAAAAGAAAAGGAGCACGCAGTACCAAAATTCATGTTTTAAATAGTCAAATCCCCAAAGTCAACTTAGCAATCACCCTATGCATGTTTAAACGTTGCCTTGAGAAAATGTTAGACTATTTCAGACAATTACAATTTGAAGAATTTGAGAGCTTTTAGGCGAAATTTGAGACATTTTCAAATTGGAAGTATTAGATGGATCTAGGCCCAAGGCCGACCCTAATTACAAGGACCTAGGCGACCGCTTAGGCTAGGGTCGACCCTAATTATAAAAAACAAATCAAAGTCAAAGTGTCTCAATCACGAATAGATATCAGGTAAGCTAAGTATGTCATGTTATCAATGTATCTATCTAATCAACCTACACAATTTAATAAAAGTAATCTCCTAAATATAAGAATTGCTCTCAACAAATTAAAACTGTGTATGAGTGAGCATATTAATAACATGATATGGCATTCCTGGCTTCGTATAGTTACAAGATATATATATAATTTAATCTATACTTCAATCTCAAGGTTGGAATTATCTTTTGGTTGGCTGGTGCATAAATGGGTTTAATCCATACTTCAATCTCAAGCTTGGCCTTATCTTTCGGTTGGCTTATTGGTGCATAAATGGATAAAGAATACAAGAATGGGAACATTTTCTATTTTGCTAGGGCCGCCTTGTACCTCTTTAATCATTGCAGTGGTTGTAACAAACTATAACTATCTGTATTAAAATATCTTATTATATCGCCTTCCGAAGAAAAAAAATATCTTATTATATCTGTCCGAATGGTTCGTGCCTGCCACTAAATTCATAGTAACACCCATCAAATTTGTGACGATTTTGTGGGCGAATGTGTCGTGGGCGGGTGCGAGAGACACTGTCAGGCTACTACATTGACAAGTTACGGGTGCACAGTCCCACATCGCCTGGGTAGAGGAAAGGTGAAGTGCTTATATGTAAGTGCATAACCTCCAATTAGTATGAAGTCCAAGGGTAAAATCGGTATGAGGCCTTTTGGGGTAAAGCCCAAGGGTAAAATCGTGCGGGCTCCGGCACAAAGCGGACCATATCATATAATTAATTACAAAATTAATTCCCATTTCATATATCATTCTGGGCCAAAAAAATAAATTAATCATGATATAATATCACACATTCAATATCTCAAAGAGAGTTTAATTTTCCTTTCCAAATTTAAGTATCAATTTGAGGTAATACATTGATTATTTGATTAACTATCCAATAAAAAATTTAGTTTATGCCAATTAGAGAAATACAAAAGACATTTGGCGCAAGCTTTCCTAGTGAAGGATAAACGCGTCAATATGATACTTTTCATATTGGAAACCCAAAGGAAAGGTCAATTACGTGCTTAAAACAACTCTAGGCATATTTATTGGACATTTCAATATTGGTTACTTCCAAGTATCAACTTCTTTCCTTAGCCACTTTTGGTCACGTTTGGTGTTCCTTCAGGTCGGTGTATGTATGTACACCGCTCAATCAATTATATACGTGTGGCGTAATGTAATATGTATGCAGCAGCTGTAAAGATAAAAAGGGCGCGAATAAATAAAAGGTCATCAGGATGGGCAAGAAAACCAGGTTGTATTTTGTTGAAAATAATTTAAATTATCAATACAACCCCAGTCCACAGACTCCACACCATATCAAACCAAATCAACTGTTCATTAAATAAAACAATATATATATATATATATATAAATAAATGCATGACAGCTCATGTAATTATCTACTCCTTTAAGTAGATATGTACAAAGTTTTAACATATGCCCCTCTCACCAGCCGGCGGCGGTTAAAACAAACCCATCAATCGTCAGATAGTGATTCAGTTATTTCATCTAAATTTCAGGCGCAATAGTCAAATTGAATCTTTAACTTTATGTTTCATAATTAAATAAATAATTTTCAAATAGATATGTATGTTTAATTATGTATATGTCATTGCATTACACATGCCTATATATATATAATTATATATTATTCTTGCCGCGTACAAAACCTGCCAAATCAAGCTATATATATAATTAAATATATGTATAAAACAACTTTATTTGAAAAAGAAAAAAGAGAAACTAACCCAACAACAGCTTGTGACAACTGGTTTGTGATCATTTGATTCATTTCATTGTTTCTCCTTTGCTTCATTTAGAGACTTGGCGAATTCAGATTGTTTTGACCCATTTTTTTTTATACTTTGAATCTAAGAATCAATTTGTGGATCTGTGTTCATTGATGGCGGTGTCACCTCAGGTTTTCCCGCCAAGGAAGCGCCGGCCGTCGGCCGGATCTTTCATACCGCCGAACCTCTCCGACCGGAAACTGCTTCAATCTCTCTTGCTGATTTCTCGAGAGGTCTCATCTCTACCAACTCTTCAACCACTCCTCAAGCGCAATTCGTGTTCGATCATTAGAAAAACCAAGCTTCTCGCAATCTTATTCGAAGAGCTACTTCGCAATATGACAACCAGATTTACAACTTCAATTCGCTTGTGCTTTGAAGAACTGTACATAGTTTTGCAGAGAATCAAAACTTTGATCGAAGATTGCTCTAACGGAAGCAAGATGTGGCTTCTCATGCAAATCGAATCGGTCTCCAACACTTTTCACGAGGTGAATGTAGATTTGTCGACTCTGTTAGATATTTTTCCGGCGAAGGATATGAATTTGAACGAAGATGTTGCAGAATTGGTGGTTTTAATCAGAAAGCAGTGCTCGGAGACACAGACTTTTGTAGATCCTATTGATGAAAATCTAAGGCGTGAGGTATTGAAAATGCTCGATCTGATCAAGAGAGAGATTGTTCCCGAGCATTGGAAGCTATCAGAGATCTTCGATCAGTTACATTTACGCGATTCAACTAGTTGCAGAGACGAAATTGAGCGTCTCGAAGACGAAGTTCAAAATCAAACAGATGAGAAATCGAAAGCTGATGTGATCGCGTTGATCGGAATAGTTCGTTACGCGAAATGCGTATTGTACGGAGCATCAACGCCGAGAGCCACCAGCCAGCGACGGAAATCGGTGGGCGACGTCAATTTCCCGGCGGACTTCCGGTGTCCGATATCGCTCGACTTGATGCGTGATCCAGTAGTTGTATCAACAGGACAAACATACGATCGAGCCTCCATCAACCTCTGGATCGAATCAGGACACAACACGTGTCCCAAAACAGGTCAGAAGCTGACCCACACAGATCTTATCGCAAACCACGCGTTGAAAAACTTGATCGCCATTTGGTGCCGCGAGCAGAGAATTCCGTTCGAAACAACCGCCACAAACGACCGGAAAACGAACGGCGTTTTGATGAATAAGACGGCGTTAGAGGCCACGAAGATGACTGTGTCGTTTCTGATAAACAAGCTAACGGTGTCACAATCAACGGAAACGGCAAATCGCGTCGTTCACGAGCTTCGGGCTCTGGCTAAGTCAGACTCGGACAGCCGAGGCTTCATCGGCGAAGCTGGAGCCTTACCTCTCCTCGCAAAATTTCTAGGCTCGGATCAACCGAACCTCCAGCTAAACGCGATCACGACAATCCTCAACCTATCAATACTCGAAGCGAACAAAACGAAGATAATGGAGATTGACGGAGTTTTAAACGGCGTTACTGAGGTGCTACGATCAGGTGCCACGTGGGACGCAAAAGGAAATGCAGCGGCAACGATATTCAGCTTGACCAGTGTACACGCTAATCGAAAGAAGCTTGGGCGAAAGACACGTGTCATTAAGGGATTAGTGGATTTGGCCAAAGAGGGTCCAATTGGATCAAAGAGAGATGCTTTGATGGCAATGCTGGGATTGGCGGGTGATAGAGAGACGGTTGCGAAGTTAGTTGAGAGTGGAATGGTGGAGATAGTGAGTGAAGTGATGGATGAGATAGCGGAAGAGGCTGTGACCATTCTTGAATTGATGGTGAAGAGAGGTGGATTAGTGGCTGTAGCTGCAGCTTACCATTTGATCAAGAAATTGACATTGGTATTGAGGGATGGGACGGAGAGAGCTCAAGAGAGTGCGGCGGCGACACTTGTGACTATATGCCGGAAAGGGGGTTCCGAGGCAGTGGCAGAGCTGGCCTCAATTTCGGGCATCGAGAGAGTGGTATGGGAAGTCACTGGAACGGGTACTGGGAGAGCTCGGAGAAAGGCGGCGTCACTCCTGAGGATTCTCCGGCGGTGGGCTGCTGGATTGGTGGATGGCAATGTAGCTCATGGGTACACCACAATGTCAACTAGGATAGTTTTGCCTGCTTAACCTTTGCTTTGTTTTATTATTATTATTTTTTTACCCTTTCTTTAATTTGTAAATCTTTCCCGTAATTTGACATTTTTTCTTGTCTAGTTCATCCCAATTGTAATACGCCTTTATAGATTATTAATTCATTTGATTTCTTAAAGGCCATGCAATAAAGATTCATTTGTTTTTCTTATGTTTTGGTGAGCCCAGACCGAAAATGTGACAGGCTCAATGAGATTATGTTATCTTCAAATTTCTGAATCTGCACAGTTTCAGATAACATATGTGTTAAGCTTCTTAAATTTTACCAATGACAATGGTTTATTTTCAATACTAAGGAATGTTGAGATGTGAGAGATCGAACCTAATTCTATTCAGGGAATAGATAATGGTAATGATGAATTACAATTAGGTTGATTTTTAAAAAGATGTTTCTACATGTGAATTGCCCATGTAACAGGATTTTACAACTCAATCCGCACTTATTTTGATACGAAAATATGTCAATTATATTTTACATCTCACACTACCAGACTAAACACCAAGCCCAGCCCTCCCACTAAGTTAGCGGGCTTGATAATGTCGGTCCAAGAGACATCTTGGGCTGGTCCAAAATAGTGATACCTTTATGTCTAGTATCAGACCACAGAAATTGGCATCCAGAGTATGGGGCCAATCTACCCTTTTACACCCATACATGTACTACATAAATATCACAAGCTTTCTGGCTAGCCAAACACCATGTGTTGTATGCCTTGGCTAAATTCATCATCTCCACACTGAATGGTGGAGACAGATATAATTTATCATGAGCAGAGTATGGTGCAGACAAAAATTCTTTTTATCTATTAGATGAAATAACAAGGAAGACAAGCGGACGTGACAATTTATTTGGTCCCCATTGTATACATATTGTTCGCCAGAGTTGAAACATATGCATCAACTACTAGACCCTTCCTTCACTTTCCTAGGGACCAGTTGGCCGTGCATACCATGCTAAATCCTTTCTGTGGTTCAATTTCTGCAACAAATCGTCGTCTCATACAACAAAATGTTAATGTCAAATCGTGTGCTCTGAGTATTTGATGGATCGAACCATCTTGTTTATACATCACTTTGGACAAGATCCATCACTATCAGTAATATTGGATACGAGAATAATTGTCTTACCACATAGTATATGAAGTTATAATCGACACATGCAGAAAATAAACCACTGTGTGAAAATGAGATCACATTCTTGTAGGTATGGACTTCGTATTTATGTACTGTAATTTTTATTTATTTTCGTGTGGTGTCTGAAGAAAATCTAAAAATAAATAAGGAAAAGATGAAAGGGATTAGTAACAATTAATTTGTGGGGCTCCCGCTTAATGCAAATCACTAGAGAAGCTGAATGTGGGGGCATGTTTGGAAGCACCTATAAAAAAACGGTGAAGAGGGCTTGCCAAAGCAGAGGGAGAGTAAGGGACGTAACTTACTAGGATCAAGGAGGCCCCCCTCTCTCTCTCTCTCTACTGTAGTGTTCCATCAAAATAAAGTTTATATGTATGAGGTGGGCCCACCTATCTAAGGGCTAGCATGGGAGCCACCAGGGACAAAATAGTTGGGAATGAAAGGAAGAACCCCTCAAATATGAAAGCATTGAAAGTGAGGGCTAAACAGACAATGAGTGAGAGAATCATTGGTGATAAAAAAAAGTTTTCTACTTTTTTTATTATTATTATTATTATTGTTTTTATGAATTCAACATATAAGTAATCACAATAAGAGAACAAAATTTAAAACTATATACTCATCTATTAAACACAGTATAATCATAATTAGAAAACAAAATGTCTCTATGATCAAATTTCGTAAGAAATAAAGATTTTCTGTTTGAGCAGCTCACATGATGAATAATTAGGCACCAAAGCTAAGCAAAAGCCTTTCTCCTATTCCACCTGCTTTGTGCTAATCTTTTCTTCCTGTGTGGACCCCATTCTTAGCCCACTCCAAGGTCTTTCTCTATTTATTTTCCACACACATCCCAAAAGCCATAAAATAAAATAAAGAAAAAAAAAAAAAAAAGGAGAGACAAAGAGCTTCTACATTCTACATTTCATCTCTCTCAAAGAGAAATCAAAGAGAGGTGTTTGAGATGGGAAACCACAAGTTTAGGTTATCAGATATGCTACCAAATGCTTGGTTTTACAAGCTGAAAGACATGGGAAGAACCAGAAACCACAACACAACTCTCCCCACAAAGAAAAAACCACCACTTTCCTCATCACGACCAACCAAACCAAAGCAGCCAAGCCTCTCCCAACAAAGAAAGTCCTATTACTTCACAAGAGACCTCTCTCCACCACCACCACCACCACCGCCACAACCACCACTTCCTGACACAACATCCTATCACAATTCACCTCCAGACCCAAAAATCTTTGAAACCCATTTCCAAGAACCATCTAGAAAATCATCCAACAGGAGGCGCAGTAGCACCAGGAGAAAAAGAACCTCTCCCAGGCTTGTCACCTCCTCTGTCTCCGCCGTCTGCAACTGCCGAACCTCCCTCGAATCCGTCTGGACTAAGCCGGATTCGACGCCCGAAGACTACCCAAACTCTCCTGTTTACAGCTCCTCAGACATTGAATCATTGCTACCTGAATTTGGCTCTGACAACAAAACCAACAGTGACATAGTCATCGACATTGATAACAACTCATTCAATACAAAATCTGATTCAATCAATGTGATTGATGTTCTTGAACTCCCCCCAATCATAACCAAGAAGAGAGCAACTGAATTGGTCGATAAAAAGAGCAACGAAGCAACCAAATTGGGAAGGAGCTCATTTAGTAGCACTACTTCCAAGGAAGTGAAGACTAGTCCTGTTAGAAGATTTTCATCAGTGACTTCACCGGGAGTCAGACTTCGGACGAATTCTCCGAGAATCGTGAACCGGAGGATACAGGGTCATGGCCGGAAGAGCGTGTCCAACTCCCGGAGGAGCCTGTCGGAGACCTTCGCCGTGGTGAAGTCCTCGAGTGACCCACAGAGAGACTTCAGGGACTCAATGGTGGAGGTGATTCTGGAGAACAATCTCAGGGCATCAAAGGACTTGGAAGAGCTCTTGGCGTGTTATCTTTCACTCAATTCAGATGTATATCATGATCTCATCGTCAAGGTGTTCAAGCAAATCTGGTTTGATCTTAGTGACACCCAGTTGAAATAAATTCTGCTACAATTGTAATATATATATATTTTCTTTTTTCTTAGATAAAACTTTGATGCCACAAAGTTCTGTAATAAAAGTTTTTTAGTTTGTCAGATTAGTCTTTTGTATCTGCAGTAGTATATAATAATCCGAGATTATATGGATTTTAGTGAAATTTATTCATGCTGAAATAGGAAGATAGATTGAAAACACAGAGAAATTTCTAGGAGTACTTTAAATTTGTCTATACTTGTATTGTTGAAGTGTCTTGTTCATTATTGGTATATGCTTGAATCAATCAAGTTTTGACAATTTGTACCGTTTAGTTTGTTTATAACTAAAAGAGTCAGAATAGAATTTTTGTACCGAATTTTTCAGTTGGGAAAAATAGGTATGTTTTTGTAAATAATTGCCATATAATACTCCAATTTTGTTGAGGCAAATTTATTTATTTTTATTTTTTTTAATATATGAGAGTTTGAATCCTCGACCTCCTCTTTTGTGAGAGGAAGTACCGTTAAACCTATTATATTTGTTTATCTGAATATAAAAAGAACTAGAATTTATAGAGTTTTATATTTGTTCACCTGAGTACAAAAGTTATTAAAAATTGTTGGGTTGTATTTTCTGTTTACGTAGCATTTACTCTATAATTACTCTTTCACTAGGAACTTTTTATAGAAGTCAAGTAAATATGGTGCATATATGATAACCTCCAGTTGTACTTGCTGACCCAATTGATATGGTGTCATAATTAACCAACCTAGCTCCATCAAGTTGAATGACAAAATAGGATTTTGTGTAGCTAAAATGCAGATGATTTGTAATTAATTTGCTTAGTATTTATTTTTGAATGCCTAGATTCCACCGACTTCATATTATTTATAAACCCCTTTTGTAATTGTAACTTAAGAATTATCAACCACTTATTATGCCGGTGAAACCACAAAAAAAAAAAAAAAAAAAAAAAAAAAAAAAAAAAAAAACTAATCCTTCAAGCTTTATAAAAGTGATTATTACTTACAAATAGTATTAATGATCCATATTTACTATTTGATGGAGTCAAAATCTTATAGTTTCAAAAAAATAAAAACATGAAAAAACACTGTTTACCCTCACAGACATACTACATTTAGGCATATAGGTACCACTTTTTATGTCTGAACACTGTTTACCCTCACAGATATACCACATTTAGGCATATAGGTACCACTTTTTATGTATGCAGATATCATTTTTTTTGCTACACAAAAAAGTAGTATCTATGTGCACAAAAAGTGATACTTATGTAAATAAAAATGGTACTTCTATGCCCAAAATAAAAGTAGTACCTCTATGTTCAAAATAAAAGTGTTACCTATGTGCCTAAAAGTGATACATATGAGAGAGTGAATGATGTGTTTTCATGTTCACGTCAGTATTTTAGTCAATTTTATTTTTTCATAACTATGAAATTTTAATTCTATCTAATAATAAATATGAGTCATTAGTATCATTTATACGCAATAATCCCATCATAAAAAGCTAAAGTGTGACAAAGTAGGAACCAATCAAATAGTTTATAACTGTCCTAATCGTTTTATGCCATCTTTGTCTGATTTTCAAGGCAATGGATATGTTTTGGGACTTATAAATAGCCCAACAATGACCCTCGTCCCTATTTGAAAAGGATAGAGTCTATGTGATTAAGGTGTTAAACTCAATAATACTCATCAGACGAGACCATTTATTATTATTATTTTCTTTGCTAACCAAATAAAAGATCCCACTTTCAAAAATTGAAAAACAGGGAATGCTAAAATTGGGTTTGGCTTTTTCCTGTGCAGACTGCAGACAAACTTATTCAAAAACAAGTCACTAGTCTGAGCAAAAACCAACATGAATATAGTGAATCTTATCTTTTCCATAGTTTCATGAAAGTGGCTCTCAAATAATTTAAACAGTAGAAATGTGCACTCATTTATATGAAAATAGGGTTTGTCTTGACTCTGCCTTCTTACATGGTTCCTTTGGAAGAGAGGCTTTGTCCATGCCCTGCGACCGAATAGTATCAAAGATACTGATTTCACACCATGCTTCATAAAGGGTGCTTCCATTTGCAACCCTCTCTGTCTTCCTGTGCCTAAAGACACCAAAACACACACACACACACACACACACACACTCTCTCTCTCTGAATTTATGTATTTTCCTAATTACAAAATTTGTTTGAAAAATAGGCCAAACAACTACTAAAGCCTATATAATATATAGGGTCCAAAAAGTTCAATTTGCTGACAATTTCTTCTACAAAAGAAGATAACCCTTGGAGGACAAAGTTCAGTTCGTAATCCATCTTCACAATTTCAGACGGTCACTTTCTTTCTCTCGGCACTATATTCAGCTTTAAGTACTACTCACCCATCTCTACCTGAATCTGATACTGAAAAGTTGCAATTCAAACAGTAAAAAAGCTGTGCACAGGATTCAAAATAAAAACACTACTATATTTAAAATAAAATATAACCTTTTTGATTTAAATATTATAAGTTATGGGGTCAAATTGCTAAAGCTTTGATGGGTCATAAAGAAGCTTTTACAATTTCATATCTTGCCTAAAATCTTGAGCGTGAATACATAAAAGCAAAAGTAGGTAATTACTTGGAAGATTAAAATAAAAAAAAGTTGTGTTGAGCAAATTTTCAAACCATGGTTACAGTACAATTATGTATGACACATCTCTTAAATGTTTGTCTCTCTCATAATTGTAGGGGTAAAAAGTTGCTGCTAATATTTGAAAAGCAAGCACTGAAAGTCGGTGTCTTCTCTTTATACGACAAGTAGTAAATATAGTATAATACTAATTTGAATGATTTAGTTTGCCATAACCCAAGTGAAATGGGAAATTTGAATATATATATATATATATATTAAATTAGAGTAAATAGTTTCTGATACACTTTCTATAACATTAATGTTGGTAAATTTGGAGTTAATTGGTAAGGCGTGTTTGGTCTACGAAATCACATGTTTTTGTTTGAATAATTAAAGAACTTGAAGATCAACATACCCAAATTCTTAAATATATCACTCGAAGATGTGAACTTTGAAGGGAAGTTCTCTATATTTTTTTTGGACTTTTTGACGTTTTGTTTACTCCGAATGTACATAATCACTTATAAATCATATGCATTATTTAGATTTCGATTTCACCTTCGCCGAGACTGGAAGCAAAGACCTAAGGAGAGTACTCCAAAAGTTCTTTCCAGCCAATTGTTGTATATGCGGCTCTAATTTTTGTTGTTTTCTCTCCCTATATGTATTTATATATCATGCGTATATATACATATATATATATATATATATTGATTTGTTCTATAATTTAGTGATCACTGAAACTTCTTGAAATCTTATGCACTTCAAAATGGGAAAGCGCCATTTATAATCTACTAATCTTTTGCTCTGTGGGGTGGATATGAAAGTTCGTGCAATTTATTCCCCCTTCTCCCAATATATATATATATATATATATAACATTATAATTTTAAAACACATACTAGTATTATTTTGTGATTGTTTGTGTCCATGTATCATAACTATTCCTTTTGTTTCAAAAATAATGTCTTTTTTAGAGAATAGTAACTCAAGGGAAACTCTTTTTAGAACAAACTACATAAAGAATATAATACATATGAGATAATTTATTCACCACTGAATCATATTCAAAAGGGCTTTTTGGCCGCATTATCTGTTGATCTCCACACAATTTCCAAATTATCATTCTCAATCAAATCACCTAACACAAATCATCAAGATTAATGATTAACTAAAATCCAAACCACATATATCATTGACTAATGATTAATGGGCTAACTAAAACATATGATTTGAGCACCAAAACTGTCCATAGATTCACTCCAAATCATGAGTCGAATTCATTTTTTTATATATATACATCTTATTTAAGGATAATAATTTTAGGATATCTTTTTCTATTTATTTTTTCTCACTAAATATGATAACAAACAGTATAAAAGTTGTCTAAAATCCTTCTAAAAAAGGAAATATAATTGTCTTGCTTTATTAAAGTAGTGTTGGAGATTTCGAGAGATCATGACGCCCACAGAGAATGGGATATGAACTTTGCAACCAATTGATATAGACAAGTTGACAGAAATTTAGTAAAAGATTAAATGCAATTCATATATGGTCCATAAACTAGCCAATACAAAGACAAAAAGCAACTGATTTTCTTCTTATTTTATTTCCATTTTTTTTTGGCTTCAACCATAACAACATTGATTACAAAACAAGAAAAAGATTTGATATAGCGTGCACGAGAAAGGAGTTCGTGTATTTGCAGATTTTTTATGTAAGACTTTAGTTATTGGTCGTATATGAGAAGACACTATATATCATGTACAATAAAATCAAAATTTATTAACTGACTTAGAATCATTTTTTATTTTCTTGAAGTTAAAGATGTATCCATACACCAACCGTTGTTTCTTTGGACTGAAATTCTTTATCTTTTATTATATTTTAGTATTACTATTTACTAAATAACACATTTACTTTATCTTTGAGATAGTATTAGAGATAAATTAATATGGATGATCTTAAAGGGTTTGATCTCCAAGTGTGCGTTTATGAATACGTGTGAGTATTTATATTGGAACCACATATATATATATATATATATATGAGGAAGACATAGTCAAACAAAGAATATATGATTCTTTTAACTTAAAAAAAAAAGAAGACAGAATATATGACCTGACCACCAGCATAAAGCGCAAATTTTGGGTCTGGTTTGAAATTTCAAGTGTGAAACCATGACGAAACCAGGCCTATTTGAAATACACACACAGACACACAATATTCAATCATATCTTACCATTAAGTATTGCAAGTAGTAACTTGCTTAATTTGTTTTTGGGTTAAAATCATAAAATTTTCACTATCTTTAAATTTTGATAATAAAATTTAAACTTGTTTCAAAAAATTTTTACACTTTTAAAAAGTGATCATATTGCTCCAATATTCAGATCCGACCTATTAATCGGGCTATGAAATGATACATTTAACCTTACTATTAAATATTAAATTAAAAATTATTCTTTAAAATTATAAAAAATTATGTTTTAGAGAGAATGGGGTGAGATAATAAGATCACTTTTTAAAAGTGTAAGAGTT